TTAACCATTCTTAAATTTGCCAGGCTCTGGTCTCTCACACCTGTAATCCTAGCTATTCTAGAGGCTGAAATCTGAGGATTACTGCTCAAACCCAGACTGGTAGGAAATCCTGTGAGACTCTTAACTAATTAACAACCAGAAAAACGGAAGTGAAGCTGTGGCTAATAATAACAGAGCAGTAGCCTTGATCAAAAGAACTCAGGGATAGTACCCAGGCCCTGAGTTCAAACCACATGACTAACAACAAGAAAAAAAAGCATGAATGTAAAATATATGTTTATGAAAGATTACCTTGTAAGGTGATTCTATAGTGATTTACAGTAATAAGGACAGAATGATAAATGATATAAAATCCTGAGTAATTTGTCAGCTATAATCAAACAAGTTCTATTCCTTTTTTTTACTTTCTTCATTTCCATTTTTTATCTGTGTATAAATGTGTGGGTATGTGTCTATGTGTATGTATGTGTGTATATGTACATGTGCTGTTTGGATTTGAACCCAAAACCAAGGTATTCTACCTATGAGGCAAGTATTTTACAGGGAGCTCTATCATTAACCTAAAGCAATTGTATTTTAAAAGTTATGTGCATTTTAAGACATTCCTCATTTGTCAAAGTTTTCCTGTGTTGAAAGACATCATTTAAAATAGTTTGAGCTGGGCAGGTGGCTCAGTGGTAGAGGGCTTGCCTTGCATGCATGAGGCCCTGAGTTCAATTCCTCAGCACCACAAAAGCAGAAAAAGCCGGAAGTGGTGCTGTAGCTCAAGTGGTAGAGTGCTAGCCTTGAGCTGAAGAGCTGAGGGACAGCGCCCAGGCCCAGAGTTCAGGCCCCATGACTGACAAAAAAAATCAATATATAGATCTATATATCTATAGATATATAGATCTATATATTTCATATATATGATATATATGAGGAGTAAGGTAAATGTTTGGAAATAAGAAAATATTTTTATTCTATTTACACAGTAGAGAAAATGATACCATTTCTACCCATAAACTCAATCTTCTTTTTTAGTCTTGAGGAAGGAATATAAAATAATACTTACAGGATCTAGGATGTAGCACCTAGAAAATGTTACTAAGTACTAATATTGCTATTACAATAAATAAGTCCAGTTAAGAATATAAACTGAGATGTCTCAAAGTGACAGAAGTTCTTTTTCCTATTAAACAAATCTTAGCTATGCTAGGAAAATGCTACTGAAAAATTCCCATTTATTATTTACTTGATATCTTCCCTATGTAAGAACTATCCTGTTTTAGAAGGTAACATGGATTTGTCAGTAAAGAAAAAAAAGACGTTAAAAATGATTTACTTAACAGTTTTAGTGAGTTAAATTTAAATGTGTTTTATCAATAATAAAGGTGGAAGAAGTGATATGTAGAAGAGAGAACGATTTGCAGAATGAGTCAAGCAGAAGTATGCCAAAAACTGATGATTAAAAATAAGAAATCCAACACATAGTTCACACTTCTACTCTGTATGAGATTCAGCAATGTCTAAGTGCATGATACAATTCATTCATGTTGTCTACCCTACAAAATACCTATCAAAGTTTCTCCTTGAGAAAATATATAGGGTGAGTGGGTGTTAGGGAGAAATAACCCTGTTCATCAAAGTTTCTCTAGTTGGTCATTGGTTGGTCTTGCTGGGCTATTGTATAATGCCTTTGCAAATATAGGTGAAGGTTGACGTAGCATTTAATACTCATGCATGAAATGGCAAAGAAGTATTTTAACTGTTCTCACCCTATATGTTTTCTCAAGGAGAAACTTTGGTAGGTCCTTTGTAGGGTAGACAACATGAATGAATTGTATCATGCACTTCGACATTGCTGAATCTCATACAGAGTAGAAGTGTGAACTATGTGTTGGATTATCAGCCAATCTTCGTTTGTTCTTGTTAAACCCAGGAGCCATGACTTTTCCATGTGCTGCAGAAACGGGCTGCACAATACAAAATACAACCTTGTTCCTACAAGTACATTTTCTAGACAACTATGGAAAGCAAAACAAAAGCTAGAAAAGAGGGATCATTTGCACTGACAAATATTTTTAGCTGAATAAAGTCCTCTTCAATTATTGTGCCCAGGATGTCTTAGTAACCACCAGGACATATTTCACAAAATACTTTTGGAGCTTTGATTTTGAGCTCTAATAGATAAGTAATAAAAATAACAGCAGAGTTGGGTAAAAGGTCTCTTAAATATGCTGGTTTTGGGAAACATCCAAATGTGATTTTTAAAAAAGCATTTTCCTCCTCAATGTTTTTAGTCCATGTATATATTAAAGGTAAATTAGCCCTGACTCATGTAATTAATCAAACATGGTTTTGTGAAACCTTTCTGCTTTCCAAATAAAATATTTTTATATTTTTATTTGGATATTTAAATATACTTAAGAAATAATAATTTATCAGTGTTTTAAATACAAACTGCTAATGTTTTAAATTTTGCTTTATCTTTGAGTCCTAAATGTAACATAGTAAACTAATGTTTACTCAACATCCGAATAACCAAGCTTAAACTCTAAATAGGTTTTATCAGTGTACTTTGTAAAAAGTATCTATGCTGATAATAAGGACTTTTCTAGGCAAATTTCATTGCTACTACAGATTCAAACACTATCTAAAACGTTTTTGTTTTTGTTTTTTGTTGGTCATGGGGCTTGAACTCTGGGCCTGGGTACTGTCTATAAACTCTTTAGCTCACAGAGAGCACTGTACCAGTTGAACCACAGCACCATTTCTGGTTTTTCAGTGATTAAATGGAGGTAAGAGTCTCATGGACTTTCCTGGCTGGGCTAGTTTTAAACTGTGATCCTCAGATCTCAGCCTCCTGAGTAACTAGGATTACAGGCATGAACCACCAGCACCTGGCTTTAAATCTCTCTCTTTTTTTTTTTTTTTAAATTCAGTTATACCCTGCTTTCACTGTATTTGATGTGGGTATAATTTGTGGAGGGGAAGGGGAAAAACAAATCGTTTAAATAGGGATACAGGTGGACCCATTGCAACAATGAGATGTACAAGTTGTTATGTCGAAAGCGAACTTTTTACAACTTTGGTGCAGGGGGGGGTGCCGGGAGGATTGGAGGGGGGGCGGTGGGGGGGGAGGGGGGGCGGCGGGGGGGGGGGGGCGGGAGGAGGATGGGAAGGGATGGGAAGGGGAAACAAAGGAGGAGGCTCCAATGCTTGATAGGAAATGTACTCATTATCTTGCCCATGTAATTGTAACCTCTCTGTACAGTATATTCATAATAAAAAAATTCAGTTATGATCAAAGTTTTTGATCATGGCTTTAGTATCCTGAAACACTTCATTGGCTCATTCCATTAAGTTATTCATAAATAATAATACTCATTAACTGTCAAACAACAAAGATTGAAAAGGGTAAATCAAATATAATTTTGGCTTTGAAAAGGCATTATCAACAAGGAAAGGGAGAAAACTGTGATTATACATGTTGATAAATAATTAAAATGACTCAAAGGTTAAACAATGTTTAACTCCAAAGGCTTTTTATATTTCAATTTTATTTCAAATTTATATAGATTAAAAAAGCAGCCATATCCCAACCAACACAGACAAATGAAATGTAACATTTGTTACACAATTATATCTAAATGTCAAAACAAATAGGTATCTGAAAATAAAGTACTGGATGTTCAACCAGGTCAGAAAATTTTACAACTTTTTGGCTATTTCTACTATCAAATTAAATTCTCAGTATAAAATATTATAACTGTAGAAATGTAAAAACCACTACATTTGAATGTATATTAAGGATCAAACTTTTAAGCCCTCCAAACCAACTTATTATTATCTGGCTCTATGAATACCGATAGATAAACTAGAGATTACACTAAAGAAATAATAGAAAAATATTTTAATCAGAAGTATTCAATCAGAAAGCAATTAGTTCTGTAGAAAGAATTAATTAAAGTTCTAGTCAGAAGATTAGAGAACAAAATTTCTTTCTAAAGACAATATAATCTGATGGTATAATTATGCTGATATAGATATAAATATAGATACATTTACTAAAAGTACAAATTCTTTAGGAAAATATTTTAGCACCTCTATGAGCAAAGGAAAATGTAAACAGGAAAACTCAAATGCTAAAATCCAATAATTTTTGGTATGAAAACAGCATTTTCACTCTTTTAAATAATTTATTCATAATAGAAATGCACATCTCTAGGTCAGATGTTATTACATATCTGTAGTTTATTTTTATTGTGAAAATACCATACAGAGGGGTTACAATTACATGGGCAAGATAACGAGTGCATTTCTTATCAAGCATTGTTGCCTCCTCCTTTGTTTCTCCTACCATCCTCTCCCATCTCCCCCTACCTCCACTCCCCCTCCGCACCAAAGTTGTAAAGTTCATTTTCAACATAACATCTGGTATATCTCATTGGTGCAATGGGTCCACCTGTGTCCCTATTTAAACAATTTGTTTTTTCCTTCCCCTCCACAAATTGCCTCCATCAGAAAGAATGGCACTGCCCCATTTGTTAGGAAATGGAAAGACTTGGAAAAAGTTTTATTAAGTGAAGTAAGCCAGGCCCAAAGAAACATAGGTCCCACAGTTTCCCTTATTTGCAATAACTAGTATATGTCTGAGACAAGCAGAAACGGTCAGATAAGTTGTTGTTAGGCGAAATGAACTCAAATGTTTTTTCTTTCTTGCTATTGTTTCTAACATATTTATAAGATATTTCTTCATTGCTTTGTATGTCCCTCCCCCATGGTGTAACCCCTGTTTTCACTGTATTTGATGTTGGTACATATCTATAGTTTATAATGGAACATTACGCACAATGAATATGCTATTATCTAGTAGTATATATATCATCAGCAAGAGATTTAAAAATTGGAATAGCTTCATATAAAATTAATTTCAAGGATAAAAACTTCAAGGTTTCAATTTATGGAAATGTTAACCATTATTTTAATGCTAAATTATTTTAATTCAATTAATATCTTAGGTCATGACCCCTGGAATTAAGAAATTCTTCAAGACAATGTTGAGTATGATCCAAGAAAAAATGTGATTTGAGTCTGGAGACAACTGTGCATGTAAGTATTAGGAAATTAGATTTTCTTGTGGTGAAATGTAATTAAAAACTAAAACATGAACTCATTAATTACTCAATCGCAGAAATTTTGATTCATATTTTTTTATCTACTAAAGCATAGTTTTAGATATTTAAGCTTCATAATGCTTTCTGACTTTAGGGGTTATATTTTTCTTCAGATCACTCTAGTATTAAAAATCCAGGATAGCTGATAAAAGAGAACACAGTATTTGGAAGACTGCTACAATTAACAAGAGAAATTGCTCCCAGGTGAGTCTGGCAAGAGTGATGAGTGGCATAGATCCTAAGAAATAATTCATAGTGTGCTCTTCTTGTATGTGATAAAAATAATAAAACATAGGAAAGGATTTTAAGCTGGTTATTATTGATTTTTAGCTATATAATAAAAACCATGGCTAGTTTCCAAACAGAATTAAATCTATATTTCAATGGTAAATATTTCCTGAGGAATTTTTTTCTCAGATGAAAAATAATGTTTAGATATAGTAAAAATGAGTATTATATTTAGTGGCTTGCCATGACCATTCACATTTCTTACATATCTCACAGCATAAGGAGGAACCATTAGGAACTATATTCCAGAAAGTCTGTCTTAGAATTAAGCTGTTGGGTGGTGCCTGCAAATCAATTGAATTACCATTAGAAATACTTGTATTTGTTCATTGCTTGTAACCTGCTCCAATCTGGTAGATGGCTTTGGGACTTTTTTTTGGTGACTAGAAAAGAATTCATGTCCTTCCCCACGGTATAACTCCTGTTTTTCACTGTGTTTGATGTTGGTATAATTTGGGAAGGGGAAGGGAAAAAACAAATTGTTTAAATAGGGATACAGGTGGACCCATTGAAACAATGAGATGTACAAGACATTATGTTGAAAAACGAACTTTACAGCTTTGGCGCAGGGCAGGGCCGGGGTGGGGGGTGGGGGAGGGAGGCTGAGAGGATGGGAACAGATGGTAAGGGGAAACAAAGGAGGAAGCAACAATGCTTGATAAGAAATGTACTCATTACCTTGCCCATGTAATTGTAACCCCTCTGTACGGTATTTTCACAACTAAAAAAAAAAAAAAAAAGAACTCATTTCCTGGGGCTGGGAAGTTGGCTCAGTGGTAGAGTGCTTGCCTCGCATTCAGCACCACATAAGCAGAAAAACGCTGGAAGTGGCAATGTGGTTCAAGTAGTAGGGCATTAACCTTGAGCTGAAGAGCTGAGGGACAGCGCCCTGGCCCAGAGTTCAGGCCCCACGACCAACAAAAGGAAAGAAAAGAAAAGAATTCATTTCCTGTAATGAAGAATTATGAATCCACTCCCTAAAATAAAATCATTGTGTAGTTATAACACGAATTTTGTTTTAGAAAGCTATCTACATTTGTGTCAGGATTACTGATGCATTCCATTTCTTTCATTTTCTGTTGCAGTGTGATTCACAGCATATTTCATTTGGCCTCCAATGATGGAGAGAAAATACCTACTATATTTTCTATTTCTCTTGCCGTTTCTAATGGTAAGCCTTCATTCCTCCGGTTTATCTTCTGCCCTATAATTATTTCTGCCTTCCAAAATACTTATAATTAATAAAGGTTAATAACCATGAAATCAAAGTTGTTAGTAGAAGCATAAATTAATTACAATTTATATGCTATCAGTGCAGCAACTATATACTTTTTTCAATTCAGAAGCTGCTTTTAGTTTTATAATTGACATCAGATAATCAGGTCTGGAAATCAAAGGGGAGAATTCACTGGATATAAACATAGAAATCACCAAGGAAAGTGATAGAGTTTGGAAAAAATGTGGGATGGCAGAAGTATGCATTGTTTGAAATCAATTTCTTCATCCATTCATTTATTGGAGCTAAGTTTAATGTGTGTGTGTGTGTGTGTGTGTGTGTGTGTGTATATAAATACTCATGTGACCCTCAATCATGTACATGCTGGATGTATGGACCAACAATGGAGGGCAAACAGAAGATAACCAACTCAATTCTTTTCCTAAAGCAGTCTTATGTCTCATACATTTTAAATTTTTATTTGTAGAAATTCTACTTTTTAATATTTTTCTCTGCTTCAAGTGAAAATACTGATTATACTCTGATTTCATTATATATAAATTAAACTGAGAGACATAATGTCATGTAATTCTGTGCCAGCAAAAAATTTTTCTGTGCTATTTCCAAAGAAACCTCATAAAGATACAAAGTAATTCAGGAAACTCATGCACAAACACACACACACACACACACAAACACACCCAGAAAACAGATGGAAAAGAAAGAAAGGAAAGAAAAAGCAAGATTATATTCTGTGGCCTTTGTTTTTTGAAAGTAAAAATTCTTAAGTCTATGTACAGTCTAAATGCTGTGCCTTTTAGATGTTATGTGTAGAATTTAAGTCCTGTTTCCTCATTTCTACCCATCAAGCATGCTAGTGAGCTTCACAGGCCAGCCTATTTCCCCAAAGGCAATTTTGTAACAGACTACCAATCTGATTATTCTAATTTGAGGATCCTTTTCTTTTAATTCATCCAGAACATTTTGTGAGCCTTAATCTTTCTTCCAAGAAAAAGTAAAAAATGATAGTGTTTATACAGTGTCTACATACTTCTTAAAAAGAATGAGTCATGTGTTTTTCAAAAATCTTGTCTTGAGATGAAGGTATAGATCACTTAAAAGATGTGAGGCCCAGAGTTGAATCCCCAGGACTGTAAAAGAAAGAGAGAGAAAAAGCAAATCTTCTAAAAATTACTACCTTGCTGTTCTTAATCTCCATTCATTACTTGTGCATTACAAGGGATTCATTAACCTTTATTAGGAAGTCAAAACCAATCAACAAATGAGTTAATGCTAATGACCAGGATGATGCTAAAGCATGAATGACATTGTTATTTTGACTTTGCCAAATTTAGTTTACTGTTAGAGAACAGAAAATCATGAAGGCAAGGGAAAGGAACATCAAAAGAGAAAGGTTGATATGAGAGAGTTAATAGAATAATATGAAGTTAGCTGAATAACATATTTATAAATGCCTCATATTACAAATCAGGAAGGAAATAGTATAAAAATTAAAGAAGTAATAGAGCTGAAAATAGTGCTTGTCAAAAATCTTTATGTGAGCATTTAATTAAAACTTGAAATTTCTATTGTTATTATCAAAGTATAATGATCACTGACAATAAATTTTGAATGTTTGCCACATGCCAGGTATATTCTGTTATTATGCTATTTTATGGTTTTTAATAATAAGAAAGCAGAAGCTTGGAGGTGGGTGGTGGTGGTGAATAATTTACTTATGCCTGAAGAGCACATAAAATAGAAGAGGAGATTATAAACACAGCTTTGCTTGGATTTCAAAACGTATGTTTAGGTTGTCCTATAACCAGTTACCACAGCCTTCTAAACTCTAACGCTACCTCTCAACTCAGCCATTAGTGACCTTTTGATAACTGTTGAAAACTGGGCCCAGTAGGTGTATTTCTACCATGGAAACTGTCATACTTTACCATTAGGGGATTTTCCTCCCCAGACTCAGTTTGCCATTCATCATTTCACTGCACTTCTTATTTCACTGTGACAGACTATGTTTTAATGAACATTTATATAATACTAAAGCTGATGCTATTGGTTTCCTCCTTAGACTCCTGCCACAGCAGAGCCAGAAGAAGAAGAAGAAGACCCCGATGACTTAATTCAGTTGGGGGTTACTAGAAATAAAATAATGACTGCACAATATGAATGTTACCAAAAAATTATGCAGGACCCTGTTCAACAAGTAGAAGGTAACCACAGTTATTTAACCTCAGATGCATGTAATACATTCGTAAAAATCATTATGTATTTTATCAGTATGGGTTTCTTATAGCCCTTACAAAAATGAGTTAGTTGCTGTTTTTCTGCTTTATTCATTTCTGAAGAACATTTTATGATAATTCATCTTGCTGTCTTTAAATAAAAAGTCTGCTTGTTGTGCTGATAGCTTTGGTGTGGCCTTATCTGTGGTTATTTGGGTCATTTGTAATAAGTAGAATATGTCTAGGATATTCTTCGCGGAGGATCACAATGGCCTAATAGTGATATGGATATGACCATATGAAATGATGCTTATGGAAATGAACTCCAAGAAATGGAAGCAAGATGTGTTTTTAAAAAAATTTTATTGTTTATAATTTTTTTTCTTTTTTTCCCCTTTGGTTTATTCCCTGTTGTCACTAATTTTGATTTGTGTAGCTTTGTCTTATATATGAGTTTATCTGATTTAGGGAAGGGAAGGGGAAGCACAGAGAAGATGGGACAAAGAGTGAACCAATGCAACAGTGACACTCATTAGACACTATGTTGGAAATGAACTATATAACTTGGGGGAAGGAGAGTGGTGGACAGGAAAGTGGGAAGAACTGAGGGAGGAGGTAACACTGTTCACAAGGAAATGCATTCATTATCTTACTTGTGTAACTGTAACCCCTCTGTGTATCACCTAAATAAAATTTTAAAAATTAAATAAAATAAATAAAATATCTGCTGGGCACTGTTAGCACATACCTATAATCCAAGCTAATCAGGAGGCTGAAATCTGAGGATCGTGGTTTGAAGCCAGCCTGGGCAGGAAAGTCTGTGAGACTCATCTCTAGAAAAGCTAGAAGTAGATCTGTGGCTTAAGTGGTAGAGAGCTATCCTTGGATGAAAGAAGCCCTGAAGTTAAACCTCAGGACTGAACAACAACAGCAACAGATTCTAATAAAAGCATGTGATTCAGTAATCTTTCTATGATACAACTATACTCAAATTATCAAATAGGAGTTTGATGTTAGTATAAAGATATATCTTAAGTTGAGTCAATGAGAATTGAACTTTAGTAGTTGTTTGAAATTCTGTTGATAGGAACTCAAATATACTTAATATCTCTTTAATTACTCTCATTTGCAAAAATTATGGCCAGAGAAGTGTATTTTCATAATATATACTATGTCATACAATTATCTCTTGGCAAGGCTAGTGAGTCTCTGAATTATTCATTTATTAACATTTGTAGAGTGTCTCCCAACCACAAAACATCCTTATAGGTTTTGGAGATATAAAGATAAGTACCAAAAATAGTTGCCATTATTATAAAAATAGAAGGAGGCTGTATATTTTATTTAGGAGACTTACAGAATAGGTTTATGAATATAAAGACATTGTAGTTTATTCTGAAAAACTCACAATGAAACACACTGTAAACTCTAGATAATTTCATTTTTTAGAGCTATTAAAGGAAACAAAGATCTTAGAATTTAAAAAATCTCATAACATCGGCATATAAATTAAATGTGAAAAGTAGAATATTAATATTTTTCAAAATGAATTTGCTTATGAAAATAAGCCTTTTTATACTGAAAATCTTTTAGGTTTAATTTGACTGAATGTCATACATACATACATATAAGTAAAATATTCTTTGGTTAGTCACAAGCTAATTTTATGTTGTGAAATTTATTTAAAAACTATTTAATTATTTATCACAGGAGAGAAAACTATGATTATCCAAGATTTAAAAAGAATAAATATTAACATTTAGTATTTTATACCAATATCAGACAAAAGATAAAATTACTTCCTGATTATAGACTAACATTAGAATTTTAATTAATTTCTTTATGACTAACATATTACACACATAAAGGGTGAAAGGTTCTTTTTCTTTGTGTTGAAGAACACATGTGATTATTAAACTTTGAAAAGAAAGGAAGAGTTAGAATTGGAAGTAGAGGCCTACATAAAAAGAAAGGAAGAGTTAGAATTGGAAGTAGAGGCCTAGATAAATACTGTTCATAGTTCAAATGGTAAGATAGCAATATTGAACTATTATTTATTGGTTTGCTTCTAAAGAACTAAGAATTTTCCCTATGAAAACAGTTTCTAAAATAAAACATAATCTAGACACTACTTCATGGTCAGGGAAAACCAGCAAAGGCAACTTGATTTATTAAATAAATATCTATCTGTGAGTAATAACATTAAATTTAAACCTTCAGAGTTATTTGTAAACTTGATTGAAGAACTAGTTTTTGCAATAATTGCTTGAAGAAAACATCAAGTAATTACTGTGGTTTTACTTCATATTTTAGTCAGAGGCCTTACTTCACAGCAGTAAGAAACTTTCCTTGAGACTTTATGTCTTCCTGTGTAACTTGTGTTGGTCCTCCCTCATTTTTATTTCCTCTTTAAGGGCTTTACTGCAACAGGACCTGGGATGGATGGCTGTGCTGGAATGATGTTGCAGCAGGAACAGAATCAATGCAGCACTGCCCTGATTACTTCCAGGACTTTGATCCTTCAGGTAAAAGAAGAAATTTACATGAGTCTACTTAACATCTATTTCATAATCACTGGCCAGTTAAATTATTGTTTCCTTTTGTCTATTAAATTTCAAAGAAAAAGTTACAAAGATCTGTGATCAAGATGGAAACTGGTTTAGACATCCCGCAAGCAACAGAACATGGACAAATTACACTCAGTGTAATATTAACACACATGAGAAAGTGAAGGTAGGTAATAGCCATGAATTGAAACTTACTTCACACTATCTATTTAAACAGTTAGTTGTCTGATAGAGCATTGGAAAGTATTCAGTCATGTTCCATTCCATTATAAAACCATCTCCTAATGTAATTGGAAAAGATCAATGAAAAAATTTGTGGGAAGAATAATGATTGATTCATTATGTCATTATGAGAACAGGCAATCCTATTAGGCAATACTTATTTACAAGTCAATTTTTCAGTAATGGAGTTTCCAATTTTCCAAAGGAAACATAATATTTTAAAAAAAGAGAGAAAACTTTCACTTGCGGTGGAATTCTAGACTACTTCAGAAATTGTGCTAAGTAAACAGGACAAGCCCAGCAGGGTTTAGACCTCCCCATCTGCCCCTCTGCAGAAGACTTGCATTCCAACTGGCTGTTAGGCCACACTCATATTTCCACTTTGCACATGAGCCTCAAAGTTAAGGCTAATTATCTTTGTCACAATAATAAAGCTTGATAGAAAACGCCTGCATGCATTTGCACTGGTGTGTGTACAGGCAATCTATCGACAGTGAGTTGAACTGTGAGCCTTGTTATCTGATTTCCTTTCTCTGCTCCTTATATCCTCTCAAATCTGAAAAAGGGTAACAATGAATTTCTTCTACTGATTTTTAGAGGAATTTCTGAGGGAAAAAAGAGGACTAACTTATAGTAGTGTTCCATAACTGTCATATTTCACCTGTGCATTCAGAGGAGTGTTTGTAAAGAGAAATACAAAAATATTTTATGACATGATGGGTTTAAAATGTAAAGAAAAAGTCTAAGACCAGAAGAAAGTAAAAACAAATCTTTATAGATCACAGGACCTTATAAATTGCCCCATTAAAATTTGTGTATTAGCCTTATATGAAATGAAAAGATGTACCCAATTGGGAAAAAAAAATCCTAATACAGAATAAAAACAAAATCAGCAACTAGCAAATTGATGTAAAATAAAAAATATTAAAGAGTATAATCTATATAACATAGATCACTAAAAGCATCACTTTGTAGATTTAATGAGACCTCTTAAGTTCTTAAATGAAACGGCATGTAGTTATTAATTTTGAGCAGAATTTGACCAATTTAAATAGATATTATTCACTTTAGCTATATGCAAATATTTCTTGGTTTGGAAGCAAATCATTGTAAAGTTATCAGAATGCATGTTTTCTAAAAATAGAATTTATGCTACATACATAGAAGGCTGTCAATATTTAGATTACTGATATGACTCAAATTTTTTATAGACTGCCCTGAATTTGTTTTACCTGACAATAATTGGACATGGCTTATCTATTGCATCACTGCTCATCTCCCTGGGCATATTCTTCTATTTCAAGTAAGTGAATGGACATATTTTTAAATTTCCCTACTGTCTTTGATGACTATAAATGGGCCACGTGCATGTATTATGTCATGTGCTGACAAAATGTACTAAATGTAGATGACTTAAGCCACTTAAAAGAAGCTGCAAGTTTAAAATAAATTGAATTTTTTTTTCCTGGTCCTGGGGCTTGAACTCAGGGCCCTAGGCACTGTCTCTGAGCTGTTTCTGCTCAAGGCTAGTGCTCTTCAATTTAAGCTATAGTTCTACTTCTGGCCTTTTTTTGAGTAATTTATTGGAGATGAGAGTCTTACAGAATTTCCTGTCCAGGATTGGCTTCAAAACACTATCCTCTATCTCAACTTCCTGTGTAGCTAGGATGACAGGTGTGAGCCACTGGTACCCTGCTAAATTGAAATGTTTTTAATTTAGCTTTGTAAAATATTTAGAGAAGAAACTGATAGAATACCTTATCCTTAATTTTACAAAACTAGTAGTCATAGGAATGAAGTAAGGTCATAAGATAGGAGCTACAGACATATATACTTAATTATATTTTGCCCTAGGAACTGTTACGTATTATAGACCTTCTTACACAGTGTTCAAATTCCTGGTCAATTTAAATATCAGTATTAACCTACAGCATCTAGAATTTCATTAGACTAAGAGTATTTAATAAATTATTGAAAATGTAATCTCTATCTATCTATCTATCTATCTGGTTATCTGTTCTCTGTAGGATCATCACTATATACTTTCAAATTTACTTAAAATCTAATTATTTTTGGTGGGGGAGGCTGATTCAGCTCCAGTTTCTTGATTGATTCCATCAAAAAGTGACTTTCATACTTGAAGGAAGACTCTTATGGTGAGGGCTGAGTAAAAAGTAAATTATCCTTTAAAAATAGCATAAAATGTAAACCTTAAGTTTTGGAAAACTCATATAAATCTACTTAGAGAAAAAGTTGCAAATTCAGGAAAAAATGCAATTCTTAAACACTTAATATTAGAACTGCTAAATATACAGCAATGCCACTACTATGTTGCAGATATAGCCAGAGGAAATGAAATGAGTATGTCAAAGAGCTGTTCTACAACACTCATTGTGCGTTACAGCCACTACTCACAATAGCCAAGAGATACAAACAAGTGTCTATCCCTGGATGAATGGATGAAGAAAATGTGGTACATGTACACCATGAAATACCATTCAGCCATAACGAAAGAATTAAATCTTGTCATTCATAAAAAATAGATGTTACTGGAGATCATTATAGTAATTTAAATAAGCCAGGAACAGAAAGACAAGAACAACATTAGAACTGAAATACATACTGATCTCACAGAAGCTAAGAGGGGAATGGGGGCTACCACAGCTTAGGAGAGGAAGAGTACAGACATGGAGAAAAGATAATAAAGGAGTATCAGATGATACTGGGGCCTGTGCTTTCATGCTGGTACTCTACCATTTGATTCATGCCTCTAGTTGAGTTTGTTTGGTACCTAATTGGAGATAAAGGCTTAAGAATTTTTCTGCCTTGATGGGCTTTGAACCTCAATACTTAGATATTAGCATTCTCAGTAGCTAGGATTACAGATATGAGCCAATGGTGCCAGAGTTGCATCTTATAGTTGCAACTATATTCTTTTACTTTAGTTTTAATTTTAGTAAATAAATTGTTTTATAAGAGAATTATATAATCAGGGTATTATATGGCATATATCACTAACTATCAGTGTCTTATATGTCAAGACAACTATCTAAGTGGCTAAGTCATATGACATTAGTAGGTTTACAAAGATTAAATAAGCCTCTATTTTTGAACACTAATATTTCTTTCAATTTTACAGCTTGTAAAAAATAATGCAATGGGCATTTTCAGCCATAACTTTTCCCATATTTTGCAATAGTTTTTTAGGCTGCACTCCAGAGTTTTGGAATTTCTTGGTCAAAGGACATATATCTTTTTATGGTTCTTGAAATACATCATTTCAAAAGTATCTTAAAAGCAACTTGTTCAAAACAAATTCTTAGTAACCATTTCCTCCAATTCTAAGACAGTATGGTAGATCTTAATGACAACCTCCCAGAAATGTATTGTATTTATAAGAACTTTATAATCTGTGATTCTCTTTTCTCCTCTCTCCTTTTTTCTTTTGTAATCCTTTTTCTATAGTTCTTTAAATCCCTCCCATCTATCTAGTTTTCATCAATTCTAATGCCATCATTACTAAATTTGTCCTGTCACCTATCTATCCTTAATAAATCTACTTTACTCAGTTCTAAATACTGATACTAAAATATCATTTGCAAAGATTTGGATCAAATATAAATTTCATTTTGTCATTCTTTAAAATTTGAAATTTCCTACTTCAATTCATACAAAATCAAAAATTATTAACATGCTCTCTTTCCTTTACCTCTTTCCTACCCAACCTAAATCTTTTAAGGCACATTTTACATTTTCTCAGTGAAATCTTCCTGAATGCCATAGTGCAGTATTTTATAAACTGCAATTAATTACAGTGGACATGTGGTTAAATTTTAATTCCATTTGGGAACTTACTATCTCTGCAAATTAAAAAAACAATTACAGCTGAGAATCTTCAGATTAATTATATCATTTTAGTTTGAATGTTATAAAAATGTCCAAGCGTATTAATTTTCTAAGCAGTCGAAGTTAAGAAGTGTGCAATTATATTGCATGCTGAAACAAGTAGTCAGAAAGAGAACAATGGTCTGCTAGAATTCTGGGTGTTATGTCTCAAAATGAGTTTGAATTGAAAGGAAAGTTGCAAGTGAAGTCCTAGCTATTGGTGTAAAGGGAAATGCAGAATTAACCAGGCTTCATCACGTGAAAGAACCTAAGATTTACTGTGAGGAAATGAAGAAAGCCATGTAATGGCAAACCATGTAAACAAATGTTCAGCATTCAAGTCTAAATCTCTAATCAAACCACTCACTCAGTTCACAATGGAACAGGACTCACTCTGTCAGAAAGAATCAACTTTTCAGGGTGGGGAAGTTTTATGTAGAATTAGTCTGTTATTTAGAAGGACAGCTTTGTTAAAAAAATAAAGACATTATATGTAATGAATATATGTATTTGTTTGTTTCTAAAATTTCATTTCTTGAGGAGAGCATGCTACATAAGCAAAAGCCTTGATAATGCAAAATTATATCTTGACAACATAAGAACTTTGGCCTTGTCCTCTACATAAACTTTTTTAGAAGAATGTAAGTAATTACTTTTTATACTTAGAGTTTCAACTGAAAGTACATTTGACTGTTCATTCTGTACAGTGAAATAAAAAGATGAGCTAGTACAACAGTCATGTTCTGGAATTCTAGCCTGACTTAATTCCAGTGGAGAGCCTAACCGTGATCAAAAGCTTGGAATATATATTTAATCTTGTTATCATCACTTACACATTGTATGCACTTAGCCTAATGCATCTCTTAAATAAACTTAGCTTTAAAAAGTGAAGGCCATGATGTTTGAAAGCTACTTGGGCAAAGTATATTTACACAGTACCTGACATTTACAGACTAGTCAATAAATAATATGGGTTGCTTACTTTCTAATTAAGTGCATCATCATTTGGGCACATAAACTATTTAAGAACTCATCTAAAATAATCTTTAATATTCATCCAAAATTATCACTACAAAATAGCAATGTGAGAAATTTTTAAGCATTATTTCAGAAATATGAAGAGAAATAGAAACACAGAGGAAGGAAAACCTCGTTCTGTTTCATGAATCAGAAATGCCCAAGGCAAAATAATCATTGAACCAAACCCTTCAATGAAAAGTAAAATTACATTAGGTAGAAATTGTAATATTATCTGCAGCACAGATTTATCACAAGGGTTGAAATAGTAACAATATTATTGGTGAGATTCAGTGTTAATTCAGTGTTATCTCTTATTGGTGTTGTAACTGGAACCCACTGAAAGGCTTAAATGTATATATTGAGCTCTGGTAGGTATCTTTAACTAGAATCCTTAAATCAAAATTAAATAACAAAAATTTCATTTCTGATATACCATATTTGCAAAGAAATTATTGTAATGTTCATAGAGAGAAAAATAAATGTTGAATAAACATTCTTGTGAATCAAATTGCTAAATATATAGCTATATTGGATTAAGCCAAAGATTATGTAAATGATAAAAGACTAATACAACTATGCTTGACCCCAAGATACTGGGCATGTTACCACATACTTTAATTCACACTAAAGAAATTTATAATTTTTGAGTAGATTACATATTTAGCTCCACGAGAACAGAAATAACCTGTCCTTTAACTCTTTTCATATCATAGAGTTTACCCTAGTAAACCCTCGATACATTTTTGAGAAATAAAGACATGAACTAGTTTTGAACTTACCTTTAGGGCTCACTTTCTCATGTCTTATCTGTAATCTTCAACAAATCCCTAGAGATTGTCTGGATTGTGCTACATTCATCAATGGCAAAAGGAATTAAGACTCTAAGATTTGGATAAGTAGAAGTTTATAAAATAGTGTTATAAAATAATACAGATAGAGACCGAAGCAAGCTGGAAAGAACAGGGATATCTCAGAACATGCTGAAATGCAGTGCCTCATACAGTGTGTCCATGCAGAATCAGTGACAGAAATTACTAGCTGTAAACAATTCCTAGTGAAACTAATGTTGATACAAAATTGCTGTGTATATAAAAAAAATCTATCAGCATACTCCTTCTGCTGCTTAATCTATTCCCTCATACTGTAGTCACCTTGTGTTAGTCCTTACTAAAGGAAACTTTATCCCCCCAATTTGATTATGAGGGTCACTGATCCAGCCAGAAAAAACAAGAACTATACAAAATGTTGACTTAGAGTACTGTTTGTTATTTTTTATTTAGAACAGGAAGAGAAAAATCTACTACTCATCCATGCTTTAAATTGAAAACAGAGGACATGAAATGCTATTCACTAGATATACTTGTTTTATACTAGAGCCAATTAAAAGACAGTCAGAGA